TCTGCAACCTCTGCAACACAAACAAGCCCCTTTCTGATCTCCTCTTCATCAAAACCTGCCATCACAGTTTCTGCTCGAGATGCGTAGCACAGTACGTCTCAGAACTGGTGTTACATAACGCCGCAGCGATCTCTTGCCCTGTTACTAGATGCAAAACCGGCATTTTTGAGCCCGTGCTGTGCAGGCCGATGATTGAACGCGAGGTTTTCGATCATTGGTGTCTGAGCTTATGTGTTTCTGTGATAGAGAAGAAGGTCAATTGCCCGTTCAGGGATTGCTGTGCTCTTCTCGCTGATGAGAGGGGAGATCGGGAAGTGGTTAGGGAGGCTGTGTGTCCCCATTGTCGCAGGATGTTCCGTCCTTAGTGCGAATCGATATGGCTTGCAGGGATGAGTTGTGAGATGTTTCAGAGGTTGGGGAAGAAGTAGAGGGAGGGAGAAGATGGTCTGAAGGTTATGGATCTGCATAGATAGGTTGGGACAGAAGGAGAACTCGCCTGTTTAATCAACCATATTAGCTTAATTTCTTAATTACTAGTTTGTTTTTCGCTCTAATATATGATTATTGTTTAATGAACTTTTTTAAGCTTAGTTAATGGGGAAAATGGTCTGTCATTATTAGTTAGTATGGTAGGTTTTATACTACTGGATATGGTGGGAAATGGATCATTCTGCTACTTTGCATTGTTGGTGGTAGAACTCTGTTTTTTTTCTCTTTTGGTGTTTTGTTTTTCTTTTTGTAGGGTAAAAATATTTTGTGTGAATAAATTTTGTATTGATTAGATACAGATAGATAGTACTTAGATGATGTTGAGGTGAACAACACCCTACTATCATTTCAATATCACCAATTACATGAAAAAAATATTACCTATGTTTGGACAAATTCTAAATTAATTACATATAGTCTAGAGTAAACCTTGAGTATAATATGTAATTACAAAATTACTCATATGTACCATACTGCGGGGTGTTGCCCACGCACCCTCAACTCACATAACGAAACTCCTCCGATTGGACAAATTCTTATGCTCAGCTCCGCTTCATTCCAGCATCTGTCATTT